CCTCCGAACGAAACTCGTTAGCTTGAACCCGCATTTTCTCCAATACCACTTCTATGTATTTGCCTTTAAAGAACAGCTCACGGTTACTGTAAAGCAGAGGGATCTAAGCCGTTTCAAGGCCACTCTATTGCAGGAGCGCTGCAGCTCATCGTTGATGGTATCCACACCTCCTACTCAAGCTGCGTCATTACCATCCCTCGAGCAACTCTTAGGACGAACACCCTTGGCAAGTAGGGTAACGGTGGATGTTGGTAAGGGACTTGGTGCCCTTTTTTTCTATTACCTTTTTTCTTTAAAATATTCTGTTTATAGGAGTATCACATCAATCCATGCTCCAATCTCTTCACGATGTGTTTGCCAGTCAGAAATCCGACAGTGAGACACCAATATGCCAAGAACCGAATGTGCTAGCAAGCGTTGTGAAAATCGCCCAGAAAAAGCAAGGCACTCATAGTGTCTCGCTAAACAAAGTAGAACCTATTGTCCCAGAAGAGAACCAGGATTATCAAAGAAAACCTAAGAAGGAGCGTCGTCGTCGCAAAAAGCGTAGCGGCGAACGTTTGGAAACGGAGGCTGATTCTGCGGTAGCCGTAGTAAGCATGGCTCCAACTGAAACGGCACCGGTCCCGAACGTTCCGTACATTCCCAGTCGGGTATTTAACGAAAGTGAAATGGCACTGAAAAAATTAGGATCGTTTGAGGTCAAGGAGAAAGTGCTACGCTCGTTGAGAGAAAAAATTGGGAGATCCGATGAAAGCTCTTGAATAGGACGAGTTAAATGCCATCATACCCTGGGTCGGTAAGGGCGTGGGAGTCCATTCATCCACATCTTTATATAGTGACCCTTTTTTCCATATGTAAAGCTTCATGTTCATACTCTCGTTGTTTATCAAATCATCTGCTGGTTTTGGATTTGCTGCTCATTAAGAAGTGCCGGTTGTACATTTTTATGGCTTTTAGACAGGATTCACACTGTACGGCGGCTTAGGGGGACGTTCGATTTTATCGTGAAGAAGTCAGGTCACAACAGACGTCGCGCGCGGCGCATTATCCCGCGTTTTTGAGGTGATTACGTTTGGGTCGTGGGATGTTCTGTAGTTTGAATTAATTCTCCGAAAGCTGACATTTGAGTGCAACGCCGAAAGCATCTGTTCGTCCTCTAGTGGCTCTTCGAATTTCATTGTGGGCTTCATATACAGGGTGTCCCAAAATTATTTGCGCCGATTTATAGCAATATATTTGAAACTTCTCAACTGCGAAAGACGATGGAATTTCTATGCACGCTAGCTAACACTATGTGCTACAAAATGCTGAAGTCGCATTTCAAAATATCCCCCGTGAGCGCGAGTAGAAGTCAAAGTTTACTTTCGACTTGATCGCATTTAGCACGCAGGTATCCTTCTCCATTTCTTCCCAGCCGTCCTCCAGCTTTTGCATTCTAGGACTCCAAACTGGGACTGCAAACTCGACAGGTCCTCTTCTAACCAGGGATCAGTCGTGGGGTCGAGTGAGTCAAGTTCTGGAAAATAGGATGGCCATTCCTCTTCACCAATGAAGTCGGGCAGCTGTCGTCGGCACCACTCGCGGGCAAACTTGGCTCTGTGGGCTAGAGTAGCGTCCTGCTGGAAGGACTATGAAATGTTTCAGAAAACGTAGTCGGATCAATGTTTCATTCACTTCCATTAGTACGCCGTTTGAGTACTGGTCTTGGTCAACTTTCACGCCTGCACAGAAG